TTTCTTTTATTCTCTCAGTAAAGAGTAAAATCCTTGAAGGCAGGGGTTATTTTTTTTCTTATATTTTTGTCTCCAGTGCTTAGCACAGAGCCTGGCACATAGAAAGGGCAAAATAAATACTCTGTCAGTCGGTCTGTCTATCTACCTACCTAGGTATCATTTACCTGTCTAAGAATTAGAAGGTGTTCTAAGAGGATGACTTTAGGAGTAAGAATCTTGACATCTAGATGGGAAAAGGGGTTGTCTCACTGAGGCTCCATGCACCACCTGAGCAACTAAAGATTGGACGAGGAGCTTTAGGATGAGTCCTACCTCCATTGCCCAGAGAATGCCTACCAAAATAGGGAGCTCAGCGGAGCAAATGGAACCTTGCTTCTCTATCTTGGTAGCAGAATAAACTTGTTAACCCTGAACAGCCTCAAGATGCAAGGTCCCAACCATCATCTTAGACTCAAAAGCAGTTCTGCCAAGTCCAGCCAGGATATCAGGGCTTTCAGGTCATTCCTGAGGACAGTTGGCAGTGTGATCTAGTAATAAGAGCTAGTTGGAGACCGAGGACTTGGGTTTACATCCTGATCCTGTTCATTGCAACCTATTGCATCAGAAAAAACATTATATAACAAAATAACTTACCTTGAACAAGTCACAAGGTCTCTGGGCCCCAGTTTCCTTATCTGTAAAAGGAAGGAATAGGAGTCGATGACCTCTAAACTCCTTTCTAGCTCTAAATGCCATGATTCTGTAAACAAATACTTGAGCAAACACGTGTGGGGCACTAAGCTAAGTACTGGGAACAAGAAGAGATAGAAGATGGTCTCACCCTCAAAGAGGCATGGTTGGAGACACAGGGAATGTAAAAATGGAATGTGATAATATTCCTAAATGTAATTTTCACATTTAGTGCAATACTAATCAAAATACCCAGGGATGTCTTTACTGAATTGGATAAAATCCATAATGAAATAATAAGCAGGCAAAAATATTTAAAGGCATGTTGAAAAAAAAAGTTTATGAAGGTAGCCTTGTATTCCCAGCACTTAGTATAAGAAAAACTGTAGTACTGGGGAAAAAATAGAGAAATATATCAATGGAACTGAATGAAACAGCAGATTTAGAAACAAATGCAAACAAAAGTTAGCTTTTTTAAAAAACCATAGAAAGTAAAAGTTGATGGAAAGATTCATTATTTAGCAACTGTATTACTAGATTGCAATCTGGTGGGAAATCGGTTTAGACCCACTTCTCATATCACATACATATCAGTGAATTCCAGATGGAAGATGGACTTAAAACATTAAAAATGAACTACAAAAATAGAAGGAAGAAAATGGAATAAATTAAATTTCCCTCAATTATGCAATTGAGATTACTTTGTTGGACAAATTAAGCAAATTGAAGGAACTATTAGAGGCAAGATAGATATACTTCATTATATTAAAATAAAAATTTTCTGTACATACCCAAATCATTATATAACATACACATTCAAATCAAAAGGAAAAGACAAATAATAGCTTGGATAAAATATTTATAGTAAATAAACAGATTAACAATTTGACATCTTAAGTAAACAAGGAACTATTAAAAATTTACAAAAGCAACTCCTAGTCCCTAATGAACAAATGGTTAAGGGATATGAAAAGATAGTTTATAAAAGAAAAACAAATGGTGAATAATCACTTGAAAAATGTCTAATAGTGCTAAAGTACAAGTAGTCTCACACTTATCAAATTGACAAAATTAATTAAAAACAATGAAACTCACTCTTTGTGGATTTTGGAAGAAACATTCATTCACTGCTGTTGGAATTGCAAATTAGAAGAATGGAAAAACTAGCTTTTGGAAAGCAAGCTGGCAATACACAGTAAAAGTTATTAAAACAATTATAATTTTACCCTATAACTCCATTGCAGGGAATATATATATATATATATATATATATATATATGTATGTATACACACACACATACGTATATACATATACATATATATATGAATAATCCAATATATTATATATGTGTGTATATATATATATATATATTTTTTTCTATACAAACCATTGTCTGGCTATGGCTCTCTAATCCTATACTTGTAAATCTGAGATTTTAATAAACCCAATGGCAGAACATTACATTTATCTCTATTAAATTTCATCTTATTAGATTCAACCCATAGGTCTAGAATTTTGAGATCTTTTTGGATACTAATTCTATCATCCATTATCTACAAATCTGATAATATGTCTTCATCCAAGTCATTGATAAAAATGTTAAATATCACATGACCATGAACAAATCCCTGGAGAACTACACTAGAAATATTTATCCATCTTAATATCAGTCCATTAATGACTACATTACTGGAAACTGGATTCAGCCATTAAATCAATATTGAACTAAGAGTTGGATGTTACAAGACTTTATATTGATCGCTATTGAATTTCATCTCGTTGAATTCCACCTAATATTTTAGCCTGTCTAGAGCCTTTTGGATTCTGATTTTGTCATCCACTGTGTTATTTGGTCTTCCCAATGCTGTGTCATCTTGATGACAAACTTTAAAAACATATCATACGACTTCATCCAAGTCATCGATAAAAGTATTAAACAGCACAGGGCTAAGCACAGATCACTTGTATACTCCACTGAAACTTACTGTCCTGTTGATAGTGAACCATTAATACATACTTTAAAACTAAACAACACAAAAAAGTAACAACAACAGTAACAAAGTACTCTTTGAATCTGGCCATCCAAGCAGTTCTGAATGTGTCTAATTATATTGTAATCTCTCCATCTTCTCCATCAGAATAATAGGAAATACTTTATCAAAAGTTGTGCTAAAATCTAGGGAAACTATGTCCACAATAATTTTGATTACATTAAATAGAAAGGTCTTGCACAAACAAAACTTATGTTGTCAAGATTAGAAGGAAAGCAGGAAACTGGGGGGGAAATTTTACAGGAAGTTATCTCTGGTAAAGGCTTCATTTCTCAAATATTTAGAGAACTGAGTCAAATTTATAAGAATAAGAGGTATTTCCCAATTGCTAAATAGTTAAAGGATATGAACAGGCAGTTTTCAGAAGACAAGATTAAAGCTATCCATTGTCATATAAAAAATACTCTAAATCACTATAGGTTAGAAAAATGCAAATTAAAACAACTCTGAGGTACCACCTCACCCCTACCAAATTGGCTAATATGAGAAAATAGAAAAATGACAAATGTTGGAGAGCGTGTGGAAAAATTGGGACACTAATGGTATTGGTGGAGTTGTGAACTCATCTAACCATCCTAGAGAGCAATTTGGAACTGTGCTCAAAGGGTGTAAAACTAATGCATAATACCCTTTGACCCAGCAATACCATGAATAGGTCTGTTTCCCAAAGAAATCAAAGGAAAAGGAAAAGGACCTATATGCACAGAAATATTTATAGTATCTTTTTTTTCTGGTGGCAAAGAATTGGAAATCAAAGGCATGCCTATCAATTTGGGAATGGCTGGATAACTTACGGTATATGATTGTGATGGAATAATATTGTGCTGTACTGTGCTATACAGCAATATTGTACAAGGATCAACGTTGAATGACTTGGCTATTCTCAGAAATACAAGGATCCAAGACAATTCCAAAGGACTTATAATGAAAAATGCTATCCACCTCCGGAGAAAGAACTGATGGAGTCTGAGTGCTGATTAAAGCACAATTTTTTTCATTTTCTTTATTTTTCTTGCTTTCTTTTTTTCAATATTGCTAATTTCAATATTTCAATATGGCTAATGTTTTGCATGATTGCACATGTATAATGAGTATCATATTTTTTTGCCTTCTTAATTGGTGGGGGAGGGTTGGGAGGGAAAGAGATTTGGGGGCTCAAAATTTTTTTTAAATGTTAAAAATAAATAATAAAATTTTAAAACCCTGTACCACATCATTTCCTTCATCTACCAGTTTAGTAATTCTGTCAAGAAAGGAAATGAGGTTAGTCTGGTCTGACTTGTTTTTCATAAAGCCATGCTGACTCTTGGTAAACACTGCTTCTTTTTCTTGTTATTGTTTGGTCTGACTCTTCCGGACCCCATTTGGGGTTTTCCTCACAAAGATACTAGAGTTGTTTGCCATTTTCTTCTCAAGCTCATTTTGCTGATGAGGAGCTGAAGCAGGCAGAAGTTAAGTGACTTGACGAGGGTCACAAGCTAGTAAGTGGCTGAGGCCAGATTTGAGCTCAGGAAGATGAGTCTTCTTAACTCCAGGGCAAAACCTGTATTCATTGCACCTTAGCCACCCTTAGAAAGGGCATGAATGAAAGGTACACTAAGCAACAGTTATAGATTGATGATAGATAGATAGAATTGATAACATTTGATAATTTTAAAATGCTTACTCTGATGCCAGGTGTGGTGCTAAGCACAAGGATACAAATACAGCAAACAAGACATTCCTTACCCTGAAAGAGTTTATATTAAAATGGAAGAAAACAACACTTAAAGGGGAAGTAGGGAAAGTAGGCTGGGGAGCCCAAAGAAAGGAGTCAGCAGTCCTTTGGGGTGGTGGATCGGGGAAGCTCAGAGCAAATATTTCTCCTGAGTTGTAAGGCAGCCAGTGAGAAGGCAAAGAAATCTGGAGAATAAAGTCAGGCAGGAATGAAGTAGGCTGGTTGGAGCCTCTACTGAAATGGAGATTGGGAAGGAAAGTTGGCTAGTGAGTGAGGCACCAATTGAAGTTAAATAGTGTAAATTAGACCAAGTAAACTGCTTTCTTTCTCCTGAGGGTAGATTTGGTAGGTTGGTAAAGACAGACCAGGGAGCTTGTTAGAATGCTTTTAACCAGAGTTCAGCAAAAGATGAAGTCTAGGGCAAAGCTTAAAATAAGGAACTTGGAAAGCCACATCCTTCTCTGTTAGCATTTGAATGATAGGAAACACCCAAGCTGGGTTCCAGAACCTAGCCCCCAAGCATAGTTAGCTAAACTGTCTTTATCAGAAGCCTAGACTCAAATACTAGCTACTACACGCAGTTCTGAGACAGCAGCCACTGTAATTCTGGGATGGGGTGCTGCATAGGAGTGGACAGGATGTATGGGTATTTAAAACAAAACTGAGTCTCATTTCATGAATTTCACGCTAGTGCTTGCAGAAGTTGGCTTCTGTAGTTCTTCGAGGGTACTTAATAAAAGGCAGTGCCCTTGTGTTCAACAAATAGGGACTTTGTATTGGATTTTGGGAATCTAGGCCACAGCAGTATTGGGATTTGCCTTCTGGTTTCTCTTGCAGATTAGTTGTGTCACTCTGCATGTATTTTCTACAAAGTTAAAACCCTAGAGGGCTAGTCTATTCTGTCTTTCATTTTTGGGAGGTGTGTGGGGGGATGTCTCTGGGGAGAACCCTCTCTCCCCAAGTCATCTTATCTATCTGCAAACAGAGAGACTAGAGTTAATTGCTGTCATCCGAGGGAGGTAAGTTAGAAATTGACCACAAGATTGGTCTAGAAACAACTCTCTGACTTGTCTGCAATGAGGCATTTCTTCCCTCACCGGCAGGAAATGTGACACCAACATCCTGCTGGAACTTTGGACTTTCCCCACTGAGCCTGGACCTAGAACCTTGGGAGAAAAAGGAGGTAGGAAGTGACAGTCTGTGACCTCACCCTTAGCCTCCAAGCTGTTGCCTGCATTTTTTTTTTAGTATGACCACTTATCTTCAGATGCCTCTAAAATGAATGAAACATTGTAAATACCTGATAAGTACTTTGCCAACAGAATTGTGATTATTTTCTTAGAAGATGAATTTATGAAACAAAAGACTTAAATTCATTGGATTTAGGATTTGTTAGTTTAAGAGCTACCCAGTACAATCTAAGAGCTGTTCTATTGTTTCACTATCATCAGAAAACTCTGAGCTGCTGCTCAAGGTTTTTTACAGCCCCATGAAAAAATTGTGGGATAGGCTAAGTTGGTGGTGGACTCTCATAACTTCCCCTTTCTGCCCCCTTTTTGGTATTAAGTGATGCCTCTTTCTACCATGTTCATTGTCTTTATGTTCTTATGTGTCTCTGTATTGCTTCCAGAATCAGACACAAAATTCTCTGGTGTTCAAAGCCCCTTCATAGCCTACCCCCTTCCTACTTTTCCAGTCTTCTTTACACTACAATATTATGAAAGGGACACTGGCCTCTTTGCTTTTCTAAGAACAAGATACTCCATTTCTAGGTTCCAGGCATTTTTTCTTGTCAGCTCTGCCTGGGGAATGCTCTCCCTTCTCAACTCTACCCTCTGGCTTCAAGTCCCAACTAAAACTTCTTCCTCTATAAGAAGCCTTACCCAAACCCACATAATTCTTGTGCCTTCTCTTTCCCCCATCCCCTGTTTATCCTGTATATCCTGTTTGTATATATTTGTTTGCTTGTTGTCTTCCCCATTAGATTGTGAGGTCTTGGGGGCTGGGACTATTCTACTGGACTAATTCATTCACTTTAAATAAAGGATGTGGCTCAAAGTGTTATCTCTCCTAGAGATATTCACATTTCGGCAGCAGAGAGTTAAAGCCTTTCACCAAAGTAGCAAAGTACAAATGGTGAACATTCAAGATTTTGTGCGGAGTTTGATGAATGGGGTGAGGGGTTGAAATTGGAGGTCACATAGCAGCACACCACATAGGTGGCTGTCTAATCTGTCTAAACCTGGATTGTAAATAATAACTTGTTATCTGAGTCAGGGAATAAGGGAGCTGAAAAAGAAAGACATTTCACTAAACTGGATGGACTGAAATTATAGTTTAAAAAATCTGGCAGTTTTACAAATACAGATTACAAGAAATAGAATTGCCAAACAATGTTCCCTTTACTTGGAGTTCATTATTTAGTGCTGTCCTAAGGCTTTAAAGATGTGGGCCAAATCAGTCATTTTACAAAATGCTCTCTTTGTGCTTTATTCTATGTGTAGGGCCATTTAGGTCCGAGTGTTTGCATAGGAGGTTTTTTGTAGGAAGTTGTTTTTGCAAGAGACCCACACAGATAATTTTCATGTGACCACATTACAGAATCACTGTTAAGACAGGCTGAGGGGCTACTGAAAGATGTAAATTGCTTCCCATATGTTTGGAGATCTAGCAATCATTTCTAGGAGTTAGATGTAACCCAGGGCTCAGGATTCTCCAGATACTTGGCTTGATTTACTGCTAGATGAAGGTAGATTAAATTCCTAAAAGAATGGTGACTAATCCTCTTCTCCGATCCCATACAGAATTTTTATTCAGGGTACTTTTCTACCTTCCTGCCAGAAGGATTCAGACAGAACTATACTTTATCTCTTCATGTGTTCCATCGCCTTTCTTGGTCCTCCTTAATGCTCATGTCTTCCCTCTACTGATTAACTCCAATTTATCCTGTATCTTGTTTGTACATAATTGTTTTTCATGGAGTCTCCCCATTAGACTGTGAGCTCCTTAAAAGCAGGGCTGACTTGCTTTTTCTTTGTATCAGCAGCACTTAGTATAGTGTATAGCACATAGTAGGTGCTTAATGACTCACTCTGTTGGTCATTTATTTGGCAACTATTTATGTATCAACAAGACATAGTGTAAAGCCCCATTCTTCTGTGAATGGACCAGGGACACAAAAGAAAGACATTTCAGTGGCTTTAATTTGCTAACATAAACTCTCAAATTTGGGATGCTTTGCAGTATTATTTTAAGTGAAAGGTTAAATTAGTTAAGAAACTCCCTAAATACTGCTTTTAATGCCAGCTTCTTAACAGTCAATCTCCTGTACCAGTCAGTCTTCATCACTTCCTTGTTTTCCCATCAGTGCCTTATATTCTGGGCATTGTTACCGTGCCCCCTGCACCGAGACTAATCTCAGCTTCCCAACTGTGCTGTGATAAATTGAGTATTGAATTTGCTATCAAGAAGACCTGGATTCAAAATCCTTGCTTTGAAAACGAGCTAACTAGTGGGCAAGTCCCTTGACCTTTTTCCTTATCTATAAAAGTGGTATCTGTCTTCACAGAATTGCTACTTTAAAGCTCTGTAGCAATGATACTTCTCTTTAATGTTTGCATTGTTGAAGGGATTTCCAGCTTGCCCCCATTAGAATGTAAGGACCTTGAGGGCACAGTGCCTGCCACATCATAAAGTCTTTATAAATGTTCGTTGTTTGATCGAAAACCCATTTTCTGCTTTTCTTGGTAACCGTAATGAACGCTTGTTGAATGCCCATGTTGGCTGTTCTCTTGGAAGCTAGATTTACTCTGGCAGTGAAGTAGAAGAGGAATGAGTGCTAGCTCTAGGAGCAGCTCATTGTGAGGAAAGAAATTAGGGAAGCATGAGGTCGGATGCAAAGAGACTACAACTGTAAGAAAGGATAATATCCTTGGGGAAGAAGTTCCCCAGACCTTTTCTGTGATCTGTAAAAGCCAGGAGAATGACTTTTCTCATTGCTTTAGGAAAAATGAGGGTATTATATATCCTTTGCTGCCTAAAGCCTCTATTGAAAAGGAAATATTATTCATGCTGTCGAAAAAAAATTATGGATATGAAAGTGAAACACTTTTTTTGGTGGGGGAGCAAAGCAATGCAGTGTATATGACAGCACTGCGTGATCTGAATTCAAAAATTCAATTCAATAAACATTTTTTGAGCGCTACTATGTTCCAGGCACTATGCTAAGTGCTGGGTATACAAAAAGAGTAAAAAAGGGGCAGCTAGGTGGCACAGTGGATAGAGCTCTAGCCTTGGAGTCAGGAGGACCTGAATTCAAATGTGACCTCAGACACATAACACTCATTAGCTGTGTGATTCTGGGCAAGTCACTTAACCCCAATTGCCTCACTAAAAACCGTCCCCCAAAAACAAACAAAACCCAAAAAGTAAAAAAACAGACCCTGCCCTCGAGGAGTTTACAGTCTAATTGGGGAGAGGGGAGACAACAGGCAAACAAATATATACAAAACAAGTTATATACAGGATAAATAGGAAATTATTGAGACAGGGAAGATACTGGAATTAAGAGGAGTTGGAGAAGCCTTCCCATAGGAGGTAGGATTTTAGTTGGGACTGAAAGGAAGTCAGGGAGGTCAGGAGTTGTAGATAAGGAGGGAGAGCATTCCAGATGTGGAGGACACCCAGAGGGAATGCTTGGGGCCTAGAGATGGAGTGTCTTATTCATGGAGTAGATATGAGTCCAGTGTCACTGGATCAAAGAGTATATGTATTGGAGAGTAGAGGGAAGAAAACAAACCAAAAAAACCCTAACCCTCTTTTCAGAATTATTAGATATACCTAATAAAATCCTTGGTCAGCACTCTTTCAATTTGCTAAAGCCACTGATTGCCCTCTGACCCCATTAGCTGGCAGTAATTCTCACACACTGGAATCCACATCCTTCAGGATATATGGGAGCCTCACTCTCCAAAACGTTCTTTCAAGGTATAGTCTTTATTCTTATTGGCTGGCAACTTAAAATTGGCTACTTTAGAACTGATTTGATTAGGAAATTAGAAATGAAGGGTAAAAAATATCTCTCATGGTAGATACTCAGTAAGTAACCTATTGAATACAAGGAGCAAAGTGGTCACTTTCATAGGAGCTACATAGAGCTACATGGACTTTAGATGGTCATTTGGTCCAAACCCCTTATTTTGAAGACGAGGAAACAGTGGTCCAAAGAGTGGAAATGACAGCAGATATCAGACGAATCAATCCAAATGTTTATTGAGTTTTTGCTAGGCACTGTGTTGAGAATCAAGGATACAAAAGTGTTTGGTTCTGGTTGTGTTATTACTTATTATCTATGACAAGTTGCTTCCCGGCTTTAAGGCTATTTCCCCAATTGGAAAATAAATAAATTGGACTGCCATGAAGATAGAGAGTGGTGGGCTGGGAGTTCCTTCCAGTTCTAAATCTATAATGCTGTGAACTGAGAAATAGAAAAGCCCATGATCATTAGCAACAGATAATTGTGTATCCACAATGTGATTAACAGTTTAGGACACTATATTTAGAGGTAGCAAATGGTGAAGAACTCTTGATTATGTATTAGTGAGATTTGAAAATTTGGCCCCTCAGCCTCTTCAGTCTTTTACAAATATTTGAAAATCAGATTTCAAGAGAAAGTATCAATAGCTCTTGATTATTATTCCTAATGGAGGATTATTGTTGGGAGAAATAGTCTAGATAATATAAAGTGAATAATTTCACAGCCATTTCTACATATTTAGTTTTTTAATTATGTTTGAATACAAGTCTGTCTGTTGTTATAAGAGTTCATAATCCTTCATATAAACTAAAAGAACTGCACTATGAAGAGCTCATCTAGCAAGAATTGAGGAATTGGCCAATTTCTTTCCTTGCCATGTTAATCAGTTTTGCTTTGTGTTGAATAGAGGAAGCAATCCTTCTAGGCAGCTAGGTGGTAGACCAAGTACTGGATGTGGACTAAGGAAAAGCTGAGTTTTATTAGTTGTGTGATTCTGGGCAAGTCACTTAACCTCTCTCTGACTGACTCAGTTTCCTCATCAGCAAAATGAGGATAATAATAGCTTCTACATTCCAGGGTTTTTGTGTGGATAAAATAAATTAATATTTGTAAAGTTTTTTGAAAATTTTAATTCACTAAATAAGTGCTATTATTTTTATTATTATTAAGCTTTAACCTAGAGTACCTAGGAATCAGGAAACCTGGATGCTAGTCCTGTCTCATTACTAGCTTTCTATTGCTTCATCTTTATGGACATTTGTCTTTCATCTATAAAATTGAAAGGATGGACTATCTAGATCAAGGGTGGGGAACCTGTAGCCTTAAGGTTACATGTGGTCTTCTAGGTCCTTAAGTATGGCCTTTTGACTGAATCTAAATTTTACAGAACAAATCCTTTTATTTTTATTAATGCATTTTTGTTCATCTTTTATATTTTCATTTTATTTATAAAATGAACATATTTAAAATTCCAAACAATAATATAATTTTCAAATAAATAATCCTCCTAGATTGACCAGCACAATTAGAACATTAGTAAGCCATAAGGACTAAATTGACAGCTGCTATGTACATTGTCTAGTTCTAACTTCCTCTGCCTGACTGGCATCACTACCACATGAAGTTGGTTCATGACAGTTTAGGGGGGTTGAGTACACCAGTCTGGTATCAGCTTTGATTTTCTGTTTGAAGTAGAATTTGTGAATATTTGCACAGTTCAACAGTATTTATACATTCTGTTTAACAGCCCATCACATCAAAGAAGACCAAGAGAACACTGAAGGAAGAAAATAGATTTTTTTAAATAAGGATTGGGAATTGCAATATTATCTTGTTTCTACTAAAGATAAGGTGATTTGCTTACTTTGTGATACTGCAATATCAACATTAAAGAAATTCAATTAAAAAAAGAAATTCAATGCTCATCAGCATTGTAACACTTTTAAGGACCACAAATATCTTAAATTAGGAGAGGCTTGAAAGATTGTATTGCAGAAACTAAAAGATGAAAAGCAAAAGCGAAGACAATTCTTTCAAGCAGCAATAAGACCTGGAAATAATGCTACTGAAGCAACTTATAAAGTAGTTTATATACTCAGAAAAAAGGGAAGCCATTCAGTGATGTAGAAATTGTGAAAGAATGCATCATTGAGGTAGGATGCTGAGATCCCGATAATATTTAAAGTGCAAACAACTGCCTCTTTCAAGGAGAACCATAACTGATCAGCAGCATGAATTAGCCATCAGTCTAACAGAACAACTTCATGCAATGCTTCAAAAAGAAAAAATATATTATTCAGTCACTTTGGATGGATCAACTGATACTACTGACTCGGCACAGGTTTTATACTTCATTTGGGTCATAACAGAAAATTTTCTTTGCTACGAGGAGTTATTCACTTTGGGCACTCTTGCGAACAGAACATGGGGAATAGATTATCTTTAATAACTTTCAAGATAAATGTCGTGAAGTTGGATTGAATTTGGTAAATTTAGTGAGGGTATGTACGAATGGTGTACCTCCCATGACAGGAAAACATGAAGGGTTTATTGCACAGATTTTAAAAAAGTGTTAACAGATCCAGATGCTCTCATTTCTTTTTGTTGTATCTTACATCAGCAAAATCTCTGTGCTAAAGCTATTTTAAGTGATACTTTGCAACCAGTCATAAAGTATTGTTACCTATATTTATGCAAATACAACACAGCATTGCAGTTTCATAACATGCTAAAGTTGAACGATGAGATATTCAGTATGGATTTGTTCTATCATTCTAAAGTGTGTTGGCTATTGCAGGGACAGGTGTTCGCTAAAATTTTATCTCTGTGAGAACAGATAGTTAAATTCTATGTAGAACGGAATCAGAAATGTGAATTATTGAAAGAAGATTTCTATAGGGATGCTGCATTTCTGTGTGATATGTCAAATCAAAATTACTTGAATATTTCTTTGCAAGGTAAAACTAAGTCTATATATGATATGTGGCAAAAAAATCCAAGCATTTTGAAAAAAGCTATCTTTTTTCAAAACACTTCTTCAAAAGGATTTTTTGGATGAACGTTTTTCCCAGTTAGCAAAGATCATCGATGAGCAGAAAGATATATACGAATCATTTGAAGAATACACAACCATTATAGACCTATTAATTGGCAAAAACAAAGAAAAGTTCACTGACTTTGAGAATCATGACATCACACTCAAATTAGCATTTCAGCTTCACCTAGTTGATATCACTAAGGCACCTAAAGAACTACAGGGGGAATTGATTGAACTCTCAGTAGAAGACATTTTAAAGACATTGTTTGATGCTAAGAAAGATTCAATTGAAATATGGAAAAATGCAGTGGAATACTCACACCTTCTGCAATGTACCTGGAAAATGCTTTCTTGCTTTTCAACCACTTGTTTCTGTGAATCTACATTCTCCTACCAAACACAAATCAAGACACCCTTAAAGTCACAAATGACTGCTAGCCATTTAGAGGATCAACTGAAACTGTGGACCTCCATGCTGCAACCAAATATTCAAATGCTTTCCAACAAAAAAGCAGACACAACAAAGCCATTAACAGGTTAGTTAACTTTAAAATTAACAAATACTTTTCATTTCATTTTTCATGTGCAAAATAATGTACATTAAGCATACCTAACTGAAGTTTCCTGAATGTGACCTTATCTGATTATAGCTAAATATTAATTCGACCTTCCAATATGAAAAGGTTCCTCACCTCTGATCTAGATCCTTTCCAGCTCTAGAATGTTGTAATTTTATGATTTAATATCAATGGTAAAATAAAAAAAGACCCTGAATAATGTACATAAAGGACACTATTCTGGTACATTTAAGTAAGTTCTTTGAGGGTAGGGGACCATAACATCAATCCATACCCTCCATAGAGTCATAAAAAAGTTCTGAGCACATAGTAAGTGCTCAATGAACGTTTATTGATTAACAATCTATATTAATGATCTCTACTGTGAGTACTACTGCCATTACAATATAAAGATGACATAATAACCAAAGAGTGCTTTTAGGGTCTCCTCTAAACAGCAAAAAGTGAATGTTTGCAAGTAGGGCATGCATCTCCCACTTGAAGCCAAAGATTTGACAGGTTTATAGTTCTAAATTCCATCATGTTGCCATGATAAGATTTTTGTTTGTAAAATGTTTTTATGTTTAAGCACCTGCTTGGGATATATGAGTTCAACTGCTATAAAATAAAGCAGCAACAGAGGATTTAGAGGGGAGAGAGGAGATTAGGATAGCTTCTGATGCATAGTTGTCCATATGAAAAAATAACCATATGTTTGGCAGTCTTGGTACTGTGTGCTGTACCTGAGCTCATTGCTTAACTTTTTGCCCCAAGGTTACTTAAAACCTATTGATAGATTAGTATGGCTAAAGCAACTAGCATTTGCTTTGTGGATGGGTGCTTTACCCACAGGATTGTTGATCCAGCATCTTTCACAAAGGTAAAATTCTCAGAGACGGAAAATGAAGCAGAAAAAAATTCAAAGCTCTGCAATTATCCTGAGCTTCCTTCTATTCCTCTGTGCCTATGAAGTACACATTAAATATAATAAAGCAAGTGAGCTGGTCTTAATGGTCTGCTAAATCACTGAAGAGGAATGAGGCCTACCTCAGAGACTTCTAAACAACTCCGGATGGAGGATTCTGCAGCTGCACAAGCATTTCTAGCTTCTCTAAAAATGAATTGTGGGTAGTTCATCACTGGCAATGAATTTGGGTTGTCTTTTTGTTTGGGGGCTTTCTGAAAGACCAATGTTGTGTCACTTTGACAAGAGAAGTGAACTACAGAAACCAACCTTAATGTTCAGAAGAGGCCTCTCTAAGGTTAGGCCAGCGCAGGGGTGGGGAACCTGTGGCCTCAGGGCCACATATGGTCCTCTAGGTCCTCCAGTGCCACTCTTTGACTGAATCCAAACTTCACTGAACAAATCGCCAGCACAATCACATTAATACAGCCGCATAACCCTGATCTGGTCTGAGTGGTTTCCATAGGGTAAATCTACCTTAAAGATTTAAATAATTACAGCAAGTGTGAATGGATGGGGAAGGTGAATAGTGAGTGGTCTATTGGATTGAGGTAAGGAGGGAGCCCAGAGAGATGAAAATGAAATATAGAACCAATTCTAAACAACAATTTAGGCTTTTGCTGGCTTTTATAGAGTATGTCTCACATCTGTGGTTTATAATGAAATGCAATTTGTGAGATTTTTGTTGCTTATTCTGCTGAAATTGTTCCCCCAACAAACTCTGTGGATGAACATTAGGAAAATGAGATACATTTGGCAATGGAATAAAACTGTTTAATGTAGGTGTTATCTGAAAACTTAAAAACTACTAAGTAGTAAAATCTATTACTGACTTTTTTGGGGTAACTTTTGGCCTACTTGGCCATCTATTAGTGCCAACTATGTAGACCTAAAGCCATATTTTATATGAGCGAAGTTTAGAATGGTAGAATCCAAATTCTGACTTAAAATAAGGAACCTCCCCCTTTTAATGAATTCCTGAGTTCAGGATGCTGAACTTAAACCCCGATAGAGCTAATAGCAATGCTACCAGAAGCAGAACACTTGTTAACAATAAAAAAGAAGATTGTTACTGCTTAACAACTTCATGTAATATAGTGAAGTAAATAGATGAACCCAAATAAAGATACATAAACAGAGAAAGAGACTAAGAATAGAAAGACCCCTTTCTTTTAAATTCATCATCTTCTCTCTTTGTTCAACATAGTTCTTCCTGATTTGCTAGATTTCATAAGGTCTTGACATAGCTTTTGCAAAGCAGTTCTATGACATGATGTGTCTTCACAGTATTGATATTAACATATAACACCTTTACCAGACACAAGAGTTTGACCTAGTGTAGTCATGGGCAAAATTACACAGAAAATAAGTCTGGGACTCAGTTTGAACTTTAAAAACAAACAAACAAATGAAAATCTCTGGCAGGGAGGGAGACTAAATCTCATAACTAGAAAACTTAGTACTAATTCTATACCTGTAAGCATGTTGGTCATAGTATAACAAAAAGAAGTTTTATTAATAAGGAAAGAAAAATAAAAGGACATCCTGTCTTTTCTCAAGTGAATAGTAGTACCCCAAAATCCTATACTGAGTCTTTCCTCGTGTCATTCCATTGTGAGTTTCCTTCTCTTTCTGGAGTCTTTTCTACCACAAATCTCTATTCTTGTCTTTCTGATTATTTTCCCAGTGTGTTCTTTGCTACTGCTCCGACAAATCATAATCTGTGTAATTCTTTCTCTTTTTAATGATCTCAACTGTAAATCTCTGGTTCATTTATTCATTCATTCCACAAGCATTTACTAAATATCTATTTTGTTCCAGAGACTATACTAGGTACTGGACTGTGTGCTAGTTGCTGGACGGTGTTCCTCTCACATGTACCTTAGGGTGCCTTTTTAAAAAGTTTTTTTAAATTAAATTTTATTTTTTCAATTGTCAAACATTTATTTTTTATTCTTCTCACTTTTCTACCCTCCAGTGAAAAGTCAAACCCTTGCAACAAATATTCGTAGTATAGTAAAACTAATCCCCATATTGTTCAAAATGTTCAAAAATGTGTTTCTTTTTGAATATTAGTCCATATCCTCTCCATCAGGAGGTGAGTAGCCTTTATCATGGACCCTCTGGATTCATGGTTGATTCCTGTGTTGATAGGAGTTCTTAAGTCTTTCAAAACTGTTCATTTTTACAATGTTGTTGTTATAGTATAAATTGCTGTTCTGATTTTGTTCTGCACCAATTCATGTGAGTCTTCTCAGGTTCCTTTGAGGCCATCTTTCATCACTTCTAATGGAACAATTGAATTCCATTATATTAATATATCATGTTTTGTTGAACACTCTCTGTTTCCAATTCTTTGCCAGTACAAAAAGATCTGTTATAAATATTTTAGTACACATAGGGAATTTTCCTTTAGTGTCACTGGATCCAGGCATATCCCTTGGGTGTCTTCTTGCAGCAGAATAGCATTTTCTCCCTGATATCTTATTGCAGTCATTACAGAATCTACTGTTAAGTATAGGTATTCTTGCCACTGGCCAGGATAGGGAGAGCTGGAGAGATTTCTAGATTTAGATGTATATGACCCCAAAACAGGGCATCAGACTGGAGATTTTTTTTTTTTGCTATGACTCTGCCTGAAACAGAATCATCTTAGTGTCACTTTGGGGTAACACACTAGAATGTAATAAAATATTGAAATATTACAAGATATGAATGAGAGTTCAACAAAATCCTAGAAGTACTCTCTGAAACGCATGATTTTCTGAAATATAACAGTTCCCAAAACAGTGTCATATACAGGTAGGTGTTCAATAAATGTTTGAAATAGAATCTGGATCTTTTGCAGAAATCCTACATAGAATAAATTAGATAAGGCAAGGGAGGGGGTTCAGAAACAGCCAAATACAGCTGAAAAAAAAATGCTACAAAAAGACACCATAAGGAAGTTCTGTTTCTGTTTGTTCTTTGCCTTATGTTCTAAATTCTGTGATCAACAGTGCCCCTAGGATTTCCTGCCCTTTCCTTCTGCAGTATTTTTTTTTTTGCTCTTCTAACTTATTTTTTGTTCTTTCCTCATCACTAACTATCTCAAGGGATCGTGGTGAAGCTCAAATGAGACGTTTGGAAAGTTCTTTGTAAGCCTTAAAGTGCTATATAAATGTCAGATATTATTAGGTAAGTTATTGCTTTCTGAATTATAGAAAACAAATGTGTTCTCATTAACAGAAATGGGGGTGGGCGTAGAAAAAATAGAAACAGATCAGTCAGATACTCGAATGACAACAACTCTTAAACCTTTCATCAGCTACCTGGAGCCAAACATTACATTTAACAATGGGACTGATTGAGCGATGGTTGTTTTTGTCTTTGCATACCCCTCACATAGCTTGGTGTAACTTAGTTAAGTACAAGGTTTGTTGAAATGAAAGAACACACAGAAAAGGCCCCTGGGTTGTATCAGTCTTCAAGGTAGTTTATTAAAACGGCAAGAAGATGCTTCGGATAGTGGGGGGAAGAGGAAAACGGATAAAGGGTCAGAGAATGTAGAACAGGTTCATATGAGAACATGCGTTAGTCACTGGAGCTCAGCTCGGGGCTATTTATAATCCCCAGCCGAGAGGTGAGCACGGGTGTGGGATGGGAAGACTAAGATTCCATACCTTCCCTACCTCACACTCTCCTGTTTTGCAACTAAGTCACTTTAGACAAATCACTTCATCCCTCTGGGCCTCAATTTCCACTTTTGTAATGAGAGCCGTATGGGAGATCATTAAATGAATTCAGCAGCCCTCTGCAACGCTGACATTGTGGGAGGCTATTTAGATGCGTTCACTGTGGCAGCAGGGATCGGGGTGGGGGCATCAAAATCAGATGTGCCTAGGGATGCTGAGGATGGAGCATGGCAGATGCCCAAAGTGAGCTCCTCTTTCCCTAAGACAAGCCGGTAGCGGTGCTGAGTACTACACAATCAACCAGTCCTCGCCGCTTCTGCTCTCTCAGTGACAGGTTAAAA